CGATAGCAGCAGCAAGTAGATCACGGATCTCATTATGTCTTCGATGGATAAAACCTCCTTTCAGGCACGACAGGGCATGATCTACCGTGAACGATTTTCCACAAGCGCAGAAAGATGGAAGGCGTTTCAAAGGCCATCGATAACGCATGTAGATTGCATCAAAGAACTCACGCTTGGTCAAGATGTAGCCCTCTTCAGCAAGTGGCAGAGCAGTTAGCCAAGCTGAGGATCCTTTCAACTGGGCGAGGTCATTTGCTCGAATCTGCTCTTCACTGCTCGATCTCAAGTTCTGTAGCAGCAACGAGTTCCTAGCTTGACGTTGTTTTGCAATCTCACGGCGAAGATCGTGGATGGAATCTCCATGTTCTGCTGATGGTGTACCATTCTGATGGATGATTCTACTTGAGAGAAGATGACAGATGGTTGTGGAGTTCAAATGCTCTTCATCACAGATGTCGTTAAAGATCGGAATACCAAGACCTCCCATACGAGCTGGAAGCGAAACCAATTGTCGCTCATGGATGGACAAGCTACGGTTATCGAGGAGTGCAGGAAGGAGCTTCAGGTTGATGGTGTCGTCAACAAGCTGCATCGCGGTCTTGATACCTGGAACGGCACGAATGTGGTAAGTAAATCTGTGCCGAAAACCCGAGACAAACGCCGTGTATGCTGCTTGGGGTTGGAATTTGGCAATTTCACTCAAAACGTGAAGTTGCTGGCACCATTTACTAACTAAAGAACTAATATACTTTTTCCGTCATCCGATCCAAGATATCCTCCAAGGTACTTATGCCCTTCACTTGAAATTCGTACATTAGTTCCAGCGAAGATCTCAATGGCAGTCTGCTCCAGGTGTGGCTTCACAATCAACCAGGATTTATCAGCTCGCGGGTAGTAACCAAGACTCGGACCATGCACGGCAATCTTCTCCCACCAGGCACGCAGTTGCATTAGCTTACCTGCCCCACTAAGGTCATCCGCGTACGCAACATGCCTTACATCACTAGCTTCACCAGATTTAATCATGAGCAGGAGTGGAGTAATGGCGACGGCGTATAACGGCATGGCTAACGGATCACCTTGCGTGGTACCTTCAGCTGATGCAATTTCTTTACCACCTTGCACGAACAATCTTGAAGCTGTTACATAACAATTGAACGTATAAACAGCCATTGCAGGACAAATGTACTGAATGTTATGTAACATGATCTTGCGGTTGATGGAATTGAACGCATTGGTGGCGTCTACCAGTAAGACAGCGTCTGTTTCTTCTTCTTCAAAAATCTTCGACATGGCGTGAACAGCAGCCTCGCAGCCTGATTGTTGTCCTGCACATAGCTGCAAGTCTCCTGCGCTATCCATGATTTGTGGTTTAATGGCAAAGACAATTGATTTTCCAATTATCCGTCGTAGAACCTCTCCAATCCCAATCGGTCTGACACCAGGGTTCTTGTCCAGAGGTATTAAGCGACACGCTAAGAAGGTCTCTAAGCTGGTGGTCTGATCTGCTCCAATAACGACCTTCTGGGTTGCAAGTGTTCTCGCCATTAACGCTATTGCGGATCGTAGATCTTTGCCAGCATCTCCATAGTTGCGAGACACCAAAATATGCCGCCATCCAAGTGCGTCAAGACCTGAAGGACCAGCAGCACCTTGAGTCCTCAATGCTGCTTTTGCTACCACTGATTGCCGTCACTGATTGCCGTCACTGATTGCCGCCACTGATTGCCGTCACTGATTGCCGCCACTGATTGCCGCCACTGATTGCCGTCACTGATTGCCGCCACTGATTGCCGTCACTGATTGCCGCCACTGATTGCCGTCACTGATTGCCGCCACTGATTGCTGCCACTGATTGCCGCCATTGATTGCCGTCACTGATTGCTGCCACCGATTGCCGCCACTGATTGCTGCCACTGATTGCCGCCACTGATTGCCGTCACTGATTGCCGCCACTGATTGCCGCCACTGATTGCCGTCACTGATTGCCGCCACTGATTGCCGTCACTGATTGCCGCCACTGATTGCCGTCACTGATTGCCGCCACTGATTGCTGCCACTGATTGCTGCAACTGATTGCCGCCATTGATTGCCGCCATTGATTGCCGCCACTGATTGCTGCCACTGATTGCCGTCACTGATTGCCGTCACTGATTGCCGTCACTGATTGCTGCCACTGATTGCCATCACTGATTGCTGCCACTGATTGCTGCCACTGATTGCCGTCACTGATTGCCGTCACTGATTGCTGCCACTGATTGCTGCCACTGATTGCCGTCACTGATTGCTGCCACTGATTGCCGCCACTGATTGCTGCCACTGATTGCCGCCATTGATTGCCGTCACTGATTGCCGCCACTGATTGCTGCCACTGATTGCCGTCACTGATTGCCGTCACTAATTGCCGTCACTGATTGCCGTCACTGATTGCCGTCACTGATTGCCGTCACTGATTGCCGTCACTGATTGCCGTCACTGATTGCCGCCATTGATTGCCGCCATTGATTGCCGTCACTGATTGCCGTCACTGATTGCCGCCACTGGTTGCGTCAATGGCCCAATAAATGCCCCAACTGATTTCCGCCAATGATTTCCGCTAACGATTCCCGCCACTGATTCCGAAATTTTTTGTCTAAAAAGGGCTATAGTAATGGATAGAGTCGTAAATAATCCCCTCAAAAGTGTTTTAGTTTAATGGACTTTATATAATTGATTTCATTTCACAATAAATGCTTCGTTCAAATTCAGGGTCAATCCAGGCTAAATCAGTAAATGCAACTCCTGCTATTTTCTCTTCAGCTTGTGTAGGCATGTCCACAACTCGTGTTGAGAACCATCAGCTCATTAGAGGTGTTGGTTTTAAAGAACTTTACGTTAAACATATTGGTGAATGCGGTATGCAGGGACCGCGGAGGGGGGGGGGGGCTGGGGGGCTTTAGCCCCCCCAATAATTTTCTAAATACATGTGATTCCTTTATAGCGATTTTTATATGGCCATAATAATACGAATAAAAACTCCTTATAGTAAGCTGTGTAATCATAATTATTTGTTCACTATCCGTGTCGGTGAACAATGTTTTCATTGAAGTGTTTACAAGAAAAATATAAATAGATAAGTATGGACCCCCCCCTGAGGGTTCATTCTTTCGGCTTCGCTAGCCCCCCCAATCCAAAAACTGCTCCGCGGTCCCTGGTATGAAGTGCTTGGCTGAGAAATGTTGTCGATCATTTAATTTCATCTCCTCCTCGATGAATTGTCAGCTTTATAATTTCGTTGAACGCCCGGGATCAACCTACCTCAAACCAGTTCCTGGAGTGACATATTTCTACAGGAATGACTGAAAAATGAACGTTGGAAGCCTCTTGTATGTGTACTATCAAGTTTTTAGAGCTGGATGATTCTCAGCTAGTATTTCCATGCACTAGTTTACAAAATATTGTAGATATCAATGATTGCATAACAGTAGGTATATCAGTAGTATTTGACAGGTATAAATGTCAAAGTCCATATGGGACATCTGGACATGTCAAGATATATAAGGAACTATGAGGTAATTGAGGTTTGATTTTTAGACATCTTTACGGTTCATATATCTTATGAACTTTGTTTATTGGGATTTCAACAGTAGCTAAGGCTTGTGATTCCTACAGGTAACTAAACTTTTTTTGTGCAGTTCAGAAACAAAGGAGAATACTTAAGAAATTTCGTATTGTCTTCATCTTGCACAAGTTTGAATACATATAAGTAGATTGATAGAACAAGTACTTTAGCAAGTGATTTTATCTTGTTTTCTAGGGCATGCTTTACAGGCTATGCCTGTTTTTGATTACATGTCTTTGGTCATTAGTTAATGGAATACTATGTGTTTGATTTTAAAAATACTATAAATTCTCGATTCTTGAGACTGATCTCATATTTATACTCCTTACTCCAATTACCATCTTTGACTCTTTGTTATTCTTACTTCATCGTGACTCTATTCCGACATCCTATTTTACATTCGAATTTCCTCGAAAAACCTATACTCCTTTGAACTTTGTAAAAAGAGAACATTCTTTTATACAGGATTCGCAAAACCAAAGGGTACCGTCTTAAGGTCTAATAGCTACTGTCAATAACTGTGTATATTGACGTCTGTTTCTAATAATACGAAAGATAATGAATTGCTAAAATGTAATATACACAGTTCAGTCGATCTTCTTAAAATGTTTAGTCGTTACTATGAACAGTTGAAAAATCAGGAACCCCAAAATTTCCACTTTTCGCTATATAACAAGCAATTCACGGTATTTCAAGATGATCGTTTCTGGGAAGTGTATGGTCACCTGTTCTCGTAAGTCAAGTGATATTTGCATACATGCAGGTAGGCGAAACAAATGTCCAAAATTAAATATTGTAATCCGAAAGACAAAAATATTTTAATCTTACAAAGGTAATTACAAAGGTAAATAAATTTAAACTTTCTATTGATGTTTGACTAAAAATTGGATCCAATTTAAAATGAATATTACAAGCTGTATATAGTAATATAGTAATGTCCTAATTCATCGGCGAGTGAATTGTCCGTGGTCATTGATGCATAAAATGTTTTAGAATTAAAGATTTAGTGTTTAAATTTAAAATAACTTGTGATCAAAGTGAAACTGAATCTCACTTGTCAAAACGACGGAGATTTATCATAAATATAAGCTTTATACTAGTGTGACTTTCATTCAATTTAGGCAAAAAATGAAATATTACATCTGCCGACTGCATGTAATAGATTGCATTTTTTGCAACATGTCCAAGTTCGATTTTGTATTTTTTTAGACACATTGTCTCTGTTTGATAATAGGATTATTCTATTTATAGCTACAAAACTGTTTTCACAGGGCTTAAAGCTGGTGTCTCTCATTTTGGAGTACACATTTTAAAAGAGGATGAAAATAAAAAAAGATGACAGAGCTGTTTGCCGCAAACAATCTTCTACATATGTGGTTATGGTAATTAGATTGAGAGCTATTTTCCATATATATACCTGTTAGGGTAGAAACATTATTAGACAAAGGTAATATTATATTACATAACACGGTTGTACCACATTGCATGAAGACGGAAGTGAAATTGATCCTGCAAGCAACATCAGCGAAAAAAGAAAATTCGAAATCCGAATCTGAAATCGTAACTCGTAAGTTAATATATCTCACATCACGTTCACATAGATTTAATGTTAGTGGTTTTAAAAGCACCATATATATAGAAGGACTGTTCTATATAGTTAAAGTAATCTTATAATAGAGCAATAACAATTATTAATCGATTCACGCGAGTAAATTCAACACTATAGTTGAGAGAATTCCAATCAAGTGGCATGCAGGGTAAAGGCTGAAAATTATTTTAGCAAAGTATTTGTGAAACATTTGCCACTGAGAAAAACCACATAAAAAATATTACATTCAACTTTGGATCAGACAGTCTAATCAAAATAGTATGATCAAAAGTTTAATGTATTTTAAAAAGCTTTGCAATACATTTTGTTATGGTTATTGATCTTGATGGATTTTTTAGCCTTAGCCTTTAAAGTTATTGGACATACGCGCAACTTAAACAAAAGAAAACTGATTTACGACGCTTATAGAAAAAGAGAAATAATTGATATCTATTTTAAATATAGATCCAGAAAACGTTATGAAAGTTACCGCAGTAATGAACATTATTTTGGTCTTGTTGGCAGTGGTTGCCATATGCTGTAAGTAATACAAATCTTGCAAGGGGCTTACCTTCATTCAAGCAAATTTTAGATTTGGTTTCTTTTAACAATTATATGGTCTAAGTTATAAGCCCAACCCGCTAAACTGATTTTTTTTCAGGGGCAAAATTTGACAGTGAATTGAGTGAAGAAAGTACGTAAGCTTTAGTAAATTACAATATATCTATGTTATCTGGCAGTGTTGACTTGCGCAGTTTAGATTCAGACAATTGATGAAACTGAGGTGCCAGGCAGGCAGGCAGGCAGGCAGGCAGGCAGGCAGGCAGGCAGGCAGGCAGGCAGGCAGGCAGGCAGGCAGGCAGGCAGGCAGGCAGGCACTGAGGCAAGTTAAAGGCGTTGAAAGCAGTCAGGGCGGGCAGCATGCAATCAGATTATTTAGACGGTCGGCAGCATCGGCATTGTTATAATGCGAAAAAAGTTAACACAAAGAAAACCAATATGAACAAAGAAATCCTTCAGGATCTTGATTTCTGTTCAACTGCTTAAAACCTTGACCTCAGAACGTCATGCACTAAAACGTCCACACTAAAAAATTTATTTCAAAATCCATGCTATGAGAAAATGCTACGCCCATACTATACCATAATAATTATACTGATCCATAGTATGGAAATAGTTATTGCATGGTATGGATAATATAAACGTCCATACTGTTTTCAACTATAGCATCCATATTATTTCCATAGTATGGATTTTGAATAAAGTTTCCAGTGTAACTGGGCGGTGCACCCCGAATCAAATTATTGCGAAGATTATGCATGCATATGCTCCATATTTAAGACTTTGGCCTGTGAACTATTTTTTCTATTATTTCTTTTCTTCCGTTTTTGGCATCCACCAAGTTGTATTGCACTGAACTATAGGAGTTATCACTCCAGGTTTTATTATCGTTCACTGCATAGGCGTCATTAAGAATTAGGATCAAATGGCGAATATTTAAATGATGGTTATGGTAGCAAAGGGTACAGGACTACCCTCTGATGGATATTCAGAATTTTTATTTTTGCAGGTCAGCACGACACCCACTTGAAAAGAGAAAGAAGATTTTGTGAGGATATATGATTATATTCATCTAAATGATCTAATAGTTTTCTAAGTTTAATTAACCTAATTTATTCACGACAAACAACTAATCAGTGCAACTGACCAATAAGGAATTACTCTATAACTTGCATGCAGTATATAAGCGGGTTATCGAATTTAAAATTCACGATCGTGTTTATAGATCGTGTGGAGGATATCAATATTGCGGTGCATGTTTTTGGGTAGTTACTGGCGCCAAGAATGTGGGAGCGCACTTTTCGTGAAATATTTATCTATCTCCACATGTTCAATCAATGTTCTTAGTGTTTATTAAGAAGGGACCTCCAGGACACCCAGGACCACATGGCCCTGCAGGACCAAAAGGGCCACCGGGACATTCAGGACCACAAGGACCACAGGGACCACCAGGACCAGAAGGGCCAGAAGGACCAAACGGACAAGATGGATTACAAGGAGCATCAGGTAGAGTTACTGACCATTTTATTGACCAAGCCCTGGGTGAATTCCGACGGCGACATTACCTCGCCATCTACACTAATACAACACCAAATATATTTACATTCATTTCAGCATGCAAACCAAACGAGAAAGATTTGCATGTATATCAAGCTTGTTAGGACTATATGAATAAGAATACTAATTTGCACTTTACCTAAAATCAAATAATTTATGACTATATTCGTGGTTTCTTCAAATGTCTAAATCTGGGATCGGTTGATCGAAAGGCGTTTAGTTTCAATGGTGGATAAGAAAAAATTTAAAAATACCCTCATAGATCTTGTGAACTGAATCTGTAATGTCTCGTACATCGTAATATCTCGATAAATAATTTTTTCTCCATTTTCAACTTGTCCATCGTTTAAGCTAAACGCCTTTCTAACAACCATCAGTTTGAAAATTTACAAGTCTGTTGACTTGCACTCTGTATGGACACCAAATCATTTAAAGCCAATGAAGTACATTTCAAATTTCAGAACACAGAAGTGATTTAGATCCGATCAAATTGGATGATCGTTACATGTTTTTACATCGATCATCACGGCATGTTCACAAAAATTACGATCAACTTAAAACTAACACCAAATGCAAACTATTCACTGGGTGTAGTGTTGTGTTTGCATGTGATAGCACTCATGTAATTAATTATTTGACATGCGTTTACCTGTGTTTAGTGACTTTAATCTTGATCAATTCACTTAATTAGGACCGCCTGGACCTCCAGGGCCAACTGGAAATGCTGGAGCGTCTGGGCCGTCGGGGCCACCGGGACCTCAAGGGCTCCCTGGAGACAAAGGGCCGTCAGGTAAATTGGTATTTTGATGGGTTAGCTGACTACGTAAAAATGACGACAGATTTTAAATTTGCATGTATTTATTTTTAGCACAGCAAAACTCCGACTGTAAAATAATAAGTGGTAAAATAGTGACAAGTAAAAAGACGGAAATTTCTTGTCCAAAAAATTGTTATGCTTTCGGCTGCAGTGCAAATTCATGTAAGATCGTGCGTCGTGCTGGAGAGAAATGCACCGTTGAACATTGTGAGGGTGAAGACATGGTCGCAAAAGCGTTGTGCTGTTGTTAAGAACGAACAATGATTCACGGACAGAAAAGGCAACAGGCGTTCACGATTCTGTCAACGATTCTACAAAATGTATTTTATGATTGATTATGTTATCGAAATGATTATAATAATTATCTTTAAGATCACGTGTTAGTCTTACTTGAATAGATATACATAAAACTCGCGAAATGGTCAGGAATAAGTCTGTACCAAGAACATATACACGTAATGAATCTGACTTGCGCAATTTTTTCGCCGGTCAAATGTTGAAGGCAGCCACGTACAGGCATACCCAGATTCAATTCTCTGATTGGCTATATATGTCACTGATCTATATGGGACCCAAGAATGGTGGTAGAAAGACAAGATTAGCCGCAATCTTGTTGATTCTAATTTGTGCCCTCACTGCAGATGGGCGATCCAAGTTTTTCACTTCAAACGCTGATAATATTCGCTTTCACATGGCTTTGCGGCATGCCAGGCATAATAAATCCGCCTTGTTGAGTCGGCTCATTCTTTCTATCGCAAATTTTAAAAAAGCGCTCTGTGACAGTGTAATTCAGTAACATCAGTTTTACCCATTATTCCTAGAGTATAGGTCAATGTTTTGGTACAATGTTCGTTTTACAAGAAATTCCGAGGTTATTATAAATTATAGGTTTTTCATAAACTTATTTGTATTCACGAACAGTTGAAATATAGCGAGCACATCCAATGAATTTATATACATCCACAGGGACGTACATAAGAAGTTTTCTTTAATATTAAAGGGCGGATCTCGCGAGAAGCCACAATGCATGGTTGAGTTCGCCCCCGAGCGAGAAGAATTGTTTTAATTTGGATCTTCTGGATAACTGGAAGCAGCCATTGTATAGAGTGTTCGTGATGAACTGAAAATGCTCAATTAGGCATTAGCTACAGTAAAATAGCACGTTATAAACGAAAAAGTGAAATAGCTCCTTCAAAATATCTTTCGAAATTAAAGTCGTACACTTTATATTATATATAACATTATACAAAATTATTCCGTGTTCATTTTACTGCGATATATACCAAGGGAATTAAAACATTCATTTGTTCGATTCTTATGTGATAACTAGTCGAGTGGTAACTACGAAAAAACCATATACCTGCCACTTCCGTGTTTCGAAAACTCTAGAATTTTCTGTACATATTGAATTAAACTGCTGATCAAGAGTTTGAAGCGAAAGAATATAAGAGGTTTAGGAAGTTCGATTGACTCGATTGCATGCTGCTGACATTCTGCTTTAAAGAACACTCTATTATTATATATTATTATATATAGTACTATAAAAAAACTGTCGATGTTTTCAAACATATACTTGTGGTCTTAATATATAACATTGTCTCGGTATATGTATCATTGAGATGAATATAAAGTTTGTTCATCTCATGCTGTCATGCAATGGTATATATGCATATGCTCTCTAGCCTCTCTACGTACTTTTCTTGTTTAAATTATTCACGTTTGTGTCCTTCACGCTTAATGAACACAGGCTCTCTCATTGAAGTAATCACGCAATTCTTTGAATTACAAGCCGTTAATGAAAGTTTAATAAGTTGCACAAAGTTTCATCACAATATTCGTATGAACTCTATATGGTAACCTGTCGTAAGATTGTAAAAAACGACAATCACCAAATCCTAACAAACGCTGTTTCGTGTTTCATTGGCCACGGTAACTAGAGCGGAAAGACAAATACCTGCATGCATGGCGAGGTATAGTTATTTCAGAAACAAATTAGAAAAGGGTTATTGCAGTTCACATGAATATAGGCAAGGTGCAAGTCAAGGAAACACTAAAGACCAAATAGTAAGTTTTGATTTTGAAAGAACTTTTTAGGCATATAAACGCATCGGACTAAATGCTGGTTTTATAGACATATCAATCTGACAATCTTAAGTTTGCGTTTACAAAGAATAATATCCGTATTGGGCGTATCTTATTTTCAACTACACAAATATAACCTCCGCAACTTTACTTTTGTTTGTCATCTACCACATTAAAAAGAATATTTATTCGAACGTCTTTTGGATCATCATAGATCAATAACTACGCTTCCTCGAAAGGCATTTTTCGTTTGTACATACACGTGCCATATTTGTCACGTTTTATCTGTGAACAGGCACCGTCTAATTTCATACTCATTTTGATTAACGCTATATACGTTTTTGGGTAAAGCGAAGATTGCAGGTATTAACATGAAACCAAAAAGGCGGTCCTGGGTGAAAACAGATTTTGTATAAGTATAATCAATTACTTACTGGTAGCAATTCTAAGATTTAAGAGATCATCTGACTATAACCTCAGAATTGCTTTCTTGGAATTTACATTAATAATTTTAAAAATTAATGTTGTACACAACGTTTATTTCCCCTTCAATTTAATGTCAATTTTCCTAACGCATACTGCACTGGAGCCAGCTTTACTTGATCGCCATAACGACGACGCGTTTTCTTTTATTTCCATATCCTTGTGCTAAATGCATCAGCATAGCTCCGGGACTCATAGATTAGTTCATTCAACTTAAGGCCGGTTTACATTAGCAAAGTTTCTGTGCGCACAGTGACGTCATCGTGTGTGAGCACAGTGTTTGAACAGAACTGCTGCCGTTTACACTGTCCAAGGTCAAAGCACAGTATTTCCTGTTGCACAGACAACAGGTCAAACATGGACGACCGTAAACGGAAAGCGCTTCTTTGCAGAAAACAGGTAGGCAATTTCGAGTGCAATTTTGTCACTTAACTCAGTGTTAAACACCGTTTTAGTTCCATTCAACATTGCAACCAAATACTTGAACAACAACCTATTTGAACAAAGAGCCTAAATTAGAGATGAAAACTTCATTGGTAGTAAGCATTGTGTTAGTGGCATTGGTTGCCATATGTTGTAAGTATTTTGAAAGTTTTAATTGCAGTTTTTACAATCTTGCCTGCAGCCAATAAAAGATTACCCTAGTCACAACTAGCCGATCACCATTCACTCCATCTCTATTCGACAACACTCGTTAAGGGGGGGGGGCGGCTTTGGCAAATATTCACATATTCATGTTAACAGACCGTGAAAACAATCCGTTTTAAAGCTAAATATATGAATATATCAATATCCCTTCCGGTCAGTTAATTTTGTAACCACTCGTATGATTTTGGCATTAATTACACTCCTATTCGTCAATTAGCATTTATAATTGCACCCTCGCCCATTGAAGAAAAGTCTCTCTAGTATTAACATGTAAGCAATCCAAAAATTTTTTTGCAGGCTCCGATGACAGCCAGTTCGAGAGGACCAAGAGATTCATTTGTTAGAACAGATTCATCATAATTTTATAGTGCTTAAGCATAGCAAGAGTACATCTGGCATTTATTAGATATTAAAAACAAAAATTAGATGTTTTTTTTAGATTAAAATGAGCATAGTGTTGCCCAAATAATTTTACGGCATTCGATCAAGTCAACAGCATGATCATTATGTGTCGATTCAGATTTAGAAGTGAATAATGTGCACTGAAACTTTATTAGTTCATCATTGCAAGAAAGGAGACCGAGGACCACCAGGCCCTCCCGGACCACCTGGACCAAAAGGGTCCCCAGGGCCACAAGGACCACAGGGAACACCAGGAACACAAGGTCCCGAGGGGCCAACAGGGCAAAATGGATCACCGGGTTCACCAGGTAATTAAGTAAATATGGCTAAAGGAGCTTGATAAACTACATGCAGCTGTATTGACTGGAAATCACTTAAATTACAAGAATAATTTTTGTGTCTTTATAACTAGTGCAAAAGCAACGAAAGTTGCGTTTTTGGTTTACTTATAAACTTAAAACTTCACCCACTGAAACTTTTTCTATCTCTATTTGGTTGGAAATCGGTAAAATTCAGTAAAATCTAGAATCGCAAAGTCAAATCTGGTAAAAATCTGTCTTTGTTAATAAGCGTTTGAAAGAGAGGTTACACTGAACATAACACGAATTGAGTAGAGAATTCATACAATTTTTTTGCTAATCTTTAATCAATTTTATTAGGACCTGCAGGACCTTCAGGATCACAAGGGAGTGCTGGAGTTCCAGGACCACCAGGGCCACAAGGTCCTGAAGGGCCAAAAGGAGAAACTGGCCCACCAGGTAATTAAGGCCTGTTTCAAACGTCGTGCTTCAGTCTCTTGTGCCGAACACGTTAAAATAATAAAATGCATCATGCGTTGTTTATTGTTGTTAATGCGTTCAGCGCATGAGAAGCACGTTTGAAACAGGCCTAAGTGTAACGCATGCGCATGGGAAATTATATATTAACAAATAACTTATAACAAAATATTATACAGCATAATAAGTCACTCGCTAAGCGAGTTTACTCGAGAGTGTTTTTGCTTGTGCTTTTAGCCGGAGAAAGTTTATAAATGAAAGCCAGATTTGCAGGCACTAAAAAAATATCGCACTGTAACTTAAAACGAGGGCTATCTCTAAGAAGGGAATAGGGGGTCTGTGAATCGTTAATTGCCCACCCCTATTTACTGTATTCACTGTAACTTAAAACGAGGGCTATCTCTAAGAAGGGAATGGGGGGTCTGTGAATCATTAATTGCCCACCCCTATTTTAGCAACTTAATATATTAAAAAAATTTTGAAATATATGAAGTAGATCGAGTTTCGTTTCCCCGACGAAAGAACTTTTCTGCATTTATATACGAGAACGTTCGAACTTTAAAAGTAAATACGTGCCTCTTAAAACTCAAATATCAACCAGGGGCCGGTTGTTCGAAAGCCGGTTAGCTTAAAAGCAAATCTTTACAATAATTTTTTAATCGCTTGTCTACAAAGCTGGATATCTTTTTTCATAAATATTGTTTGGACTGATAGAAGTCATATTTTCTGAAATGTTAACTGAAAGACAAAAACACCGGATTAGAATTTAACCCAGTGTTAGCGCTGACCTAGCTTTGAACAACTGGCCCCAGATCGGTTTGTTGTGAATTCTATTGCTACAGTCTAATATTTTGCCTTAAAGTAAGACGGATCATTGTTACTTGTTCATCTGCTGAGACTCGCCGAAAGTTATCGGCTACATGAATAGTTCAAAAAAAAAGACTATACTCTGTTAGCTAAACTCTGTGACTGCATGTCGGTATAATAGACACGATTGTGGTAGACAGCGATATCCTTTCCGTCAATAAATTTTCTTTACCGTCACTATGAACTCAACACTCCCCCCTTTCCTGCTGTCTTATTAACCTATTAAGCGACGACCTCGACTAAAGCGTCAATTCTATTATTTCTAGGCTCACCAGGCTTAAATTGCAAAATACAGAGTGGTAAAACGGCTTGCTGTCCGAAAAATTTTCTTCTCTTTGCTTGCAGCAGCACGTCATGTAAAGTGAAGCGTAATAAAAATACTTGCAGTTGCGAGAAACAGAAGAAAGGGAATAAACAGAAGAAAGTAGTAAAAGCCTTGTGTTGCCAGCATGGTTAATAACGAACAATTAAATTTATTCAATATAATTATATTAAGCTGTAGCAGCAACAACTACGAATAGTGCAAAAAGAAAATTACATAAATGTGCTATTAATATGGCTCTGATTGATGTTTATTTGTCACACAGTTTCATAAAAAAGAACAAAGGTTATAATTGCTTCTATAATTGTATTCATGAAACATATCTACACGCATGTTCATAATTAAACCGAAGCCGAAAGGCCAAGTCAAGGCTACGCATAAGCGTAGAAGTGAGTGCAGAGGGTGCAATCTCATGATGCGCCATGCCGCAACCTCGTTCCCAGGGTATTTTACCTTGATTCTGGGTTTGGGTAAAGGCCCTGGGATCGGCCAATCGTTGCTGACGTCTGATTGGTTAAATGATTTATCCTCAATGTAATTAGCGGAATATTTTGTTATTATTCCGAACCGAGCAAATAAATAGGGGTGCGATCAAAGGATGAGGTAAATGGCAGAAACCAAGACTCCACAACCTCGTTTCCAGGGCATTTTACCTTGATTCTATTGATTTATGTTTATTCAAAATACCCACGAAATGTGGTATTTCGATCCCAGGGCCTTTCCTCTTCTCTTGTCCCCCAAGCCCCGACCCTCCCTATAAAGTCCCAAAAGTCCCTGGGAGCGAGGTTGGCCATGCTGTACCAAGGGGACAATGGGGTGCAAATCCCTCTCCCCCACAAGTACCTCAATGCTGCGATATATAGAAACACCTCGGGTCAAATATTCCGATTTACAAAAGTTCTTGATATTTTAGAAAGTATACGGATTCAAAATGTAACCAAAACGTTAACTTTGTTTACATTATGGACTGTACCCCACCTTAATAACTCCTGCTATTGATATACGATTTAATATTTTTAATCAACTTTACTATGGCCTCCAGGACCAAAAGGGAATAATGGTTCACCCGGGCCACAAGATGCACAATGAACAAAAGGAGACACTGGAGCATCAGGTAACTACCGAGGAACACAACGTTTGGTTAAATGTCACCAAGCACTGCATGGCGCCCGTTACTTTTCCTGGCGCCTGGGCTGAACAGAACGCCTCCAAGGCCAAATGAAATTGGGCACAGTGCCCCAAAACGCGAGAACGTTTAGGAGGCTATCATTCGGATTAATGAATTAACGCGTAAAATAACAAAAAAATTTCACTTGCTTTTCGTATTCATAACGGTATAATCGATTACCAAACGTTCTACAACTCTATGGCGTCAGGCAGTGCTTTAGGTCCGGAGTGAAGATGCTTCTAAGTTGTATATTTTTACTATTTGTATTTTGAAGGCATGTTATGACACTAATTTCTAGTAAGGGTCATGAAATATTCATGATAATATAGTTTTATTATGACTGATATATTAGATTTGAAAATTCTGCTATTGATACAAGCTCGTCATTTGACTACCTTTATTAGGACCTCAAGGATCACCTGGGAGTACTGAGCCAAAAGAACCAGAAGGACCAGCAGGGCGAAAAGATGATCCCGCGGGGAAACAGGGTCCATAGGGTCCACCGGGGATAGTACAACAGGTTCAAAAAGAAAATAAACACGGTAATAAAACTGTATAATACACATGGAAACGTTCCAATGATCCTACATTTAAATGCAAGAAACCAGTTTGCTTTTAGGTTTTTGACATGCTTGGTCGAGCGGGAAAGAGATCAAGTACAAGAAAATTGGAGTTTTAATGAACTGCATTTACTTGTCAGTGAGACTAGAAATTCCATTCTGCTTATTATTGTATATTTCTTCCTTTTGTATGTCTCAAGACGGAGAAAAGGTTCAGATAAAGGGCTAACAGTAGCAGTGTCGCCAGATCTAGAATTAGGGCAATAGATATATTCGCGTTAACATGCCGTAAGCACAATTGATTTCGAAAGAAATGAATAATTCAGAACACAAAGCAGGGATGTGTTCAATGAACAACGAATCATACACACAAACATACAACATATTTCAATACTTCTAATTTCATAAATATGCAAATGATCTTTTTGTGGTGTACCACCTTAAGTCAGCTTAGTCAGTGGATAATGTTTGTATATATACTATATATATATATAGGTATTTAAACAATTTATTTTATTTCATAAACAGAGAACAATACATGGATCTCTGATTGGTTGCCCCCACCCCCCAGTTAAGATAGTCACGCTACGCCCCTGACACGAAGATAAGAATATCTGAGGAGAAAGCCTCTTTGCCGTCACATGTTAACTCAACGCCCCTAAACTTTCGACTCTTACGGCACCCTGACTAAAAACATTATTTGTATTTTCCTTAGGCTCAGAAGCTCTAGGAACTAATGGTTTTGACGAGGAAACGGTTAATATTTATTCAATATAAGTTTAGCTTAATCGTGCGCAAAAATGGATTTACTTACCGTATTTACTCGTTTGAGTGCTCTTTAAATTTTTAGAACTTCAGATGCGGCGCTTAATCGAGGGCGGCGCTCAATCGGGGGCGACGCTATTTAAAAAATATTATTTGTGAATTGTAACAAGAACTTTAAACAAAAAGAATTAAAAGTTAGATGTAGCAAAATACCCCATTTGGGCATTTTACAGAAAACAAACCTCACACAAATCACTGGAATCTCTGCCTTCACTGACCTGTGCCTTACGAAAATTCTAAAGACCGATTTGGGCAATATATAGCGTCTTCAACAATTCTGAGGGTGCGTCGATTAAGCGCCGAATTTGAACATAATTAGTGCGGCGCTCATTCGGGGGCGGCGCTCTTTAAGAAAAAATATCGCAAATGCGGCGCTCATTCGGGAGCGGCGTTCAATCGGGGGCGGCGCTCTTTAAGAAAAATATCGCAAATGCGGCGCTCATTCGGGGGCGGCGTTCAATCGGGGGCGGCGCTCTTTAAGAAAAAATATCGCAAATGCGGCGCTCATTCGGGAGCGGCGTTCAATCGGGGGCGGCGCTCTTTAAGAAAAAATATCGCAAATGCGGCGCTCATTCGGGGGCGGCGTTCAATCGGGGGCGGCGCTCTTTAACAAAAATATCGCAAATGCGGCGCTCATTCGGGAGCGGCGCTCAATCGAGTAAATACGGTATTGTACCGTCCGTACAACGGCTTTATTAAAAATTGAAATTAAATGGTATCTATATAAGAATCCATGCATGCAGTAAGCCTCATTCTTCTCTTTGTGCTGTAAGTTATAAAGATATGGCTAAGTATTGAAAGCTTTTAAACGGAGGTATGTTGTTATTGATAGATCATTTTCGGTCTATATGTGCGTGGTAGCATTTACTAGCCTGGATGGGAGGTGATATGTTTGTTTACGCTTGGAAATCACTTTTTAAACAACGGGCTGTTTATAATATAATTGTTAAGAAATGCTATTTTCCACCAAACCTCCGCCCCCGTTGTTAAATAGACATGCAACAATCACGCTGCACACCATACTCCGCTCCACACTCCGCTAAAGTTCTATCCTGCAATTGTCTATTCCAACAGCAAAAATCTACAGCATTCAGTTGCAGACGTGGAGCAATCAGAATGATGTATCTTCAACAAAAAAGGCGCGAGACGCCATTACGGAAAAGCGATAAGGGTTTACCTTGCTGTTTCGTAATTCCAGTAATATTTTGTTATCAGATCTCCAGCGAAGTTTTATATCGCACGTGAGTCTCCCTGCCTTTTTTACGAGTCGACAAAATCTAGTTTTATACTGCTAAAATATCGCTTTATTTAATTTGAAGATGTCTAGCTGATTAGGCATCTTACTACTACAGTACCAGTATAATCACGAGTTGCATGGCCATGCCCTATCATGTTGTATGCATTCATGTCCTTGTTGATCAGAAGCCATGTGTGGATAAGTTATACACAAGATTTTTAATTTTCAAGAGGTGAGTCATTGCTGCATTCCTTGTGATGCATGGATAGAACATTTGCTTGATAAACATATAACAAGAAATCCCCAGACACTGTAAAAGAGTTCGAAAGAGTCTGATATATCGATAAATGGAAATGCTTGAGAAAAAGCGATTCTATATGTATACATTCTATGTATACCTACAGATAAACACAATATTATGTTCTTTTTATCTGTGCATTTGTCCATATATTTGGATTAAAGTGCCAGCGCTGATTTAATCTCTAAACTTTTATTAACTGTATTTGTTATACGTCTCAATATCATGCATGCAGGCATAGATGCACAAGTCTTTGCAGGTCCACGCGTCATCAGCATTTCCGAAAATGTCTAGCATCGCGCACTAATAGAGCAGCAGATTAAAAGAGCGGACATGGCAATGTCAGTAGCCAATATTAATATCCCACGCAATAATAATTATCACAGTACACGCAATTCCATACATAGCTACGCCGACTAACATTTCTTATTAATTTACTCGTAGTTCATGAACTATTTAAAAATTATTCATATTGATCCTGTCATTACTGGCGATTTGATTACCGCAAATCTCAATCATTGTGCACATGCATATATCTTCTGATCTCATAATCTTTTTACCGCGTCATCGACCATGCAGACATCGGGGTGGTAGAAAGTCACGCGTGGAATTTAATTCTTAGCAGACGTACAATAAAGTAAGTTACACAAGTTATTTAAATTAATTCTAAAAGACAGCGAAGCCGAATTATTGCTGGTGAATTATTGCCTTTTGATGGAGAACATATCTATATATAAAAGATACTTCAGCTTATGATATTAGTAATTATTAATATTATAAATATTAATATACAAAAAAAATTATCATAGGGGCTGGGCCACCATCGTTTATTACAGCCCCTTGAACAGACGGCATAATATCACTCCTAAAAATGCTTACTTGAATTCCTGAAAAGATTTTTAGAGCGGTATAGGTTCTTTCTTATGCATGGCTGACAAAAACATGCAACATAATTTGAAAAATTTATACCACGTGGTTAAGACCGTTAAGTAGCCAATATTCGTTCAAGATTTTACACGTTAGTTCATCAACTGTTTGGGAATTTAATTTAATCTAATTTAAAATCCTAGCCAGAATGCTAACAATCACATACTTTTAGATATATATGCATGTTTTTATTACGGGCAGGCTCGCGG